CGACGTCGATCGCGAAGGCGGAAGTGCCGCCGTCCGCCAGCGTCGTGATGATGCGATCGGTGAAGGACTGGGAGCCGTCGTTCTCGTGCCACGCGACCTCATCGCCGATCTCGCACGCTGACAGCGCGTCGATGTCGCCGTCGCCGTCGACGTCGATCGCGATGACAGACTTGGCGCCGTCCATCAGCGTCGTGATGACGCGCTCAGTGAAGGACTCGGAGCCGTCGTTTTCCCACAACGCGACCGTGTCGTCGCCGTAGGACGCCGACAACACGTCGACGTCGCCGTCGCCGTCGACGTCGATCGCGAAGACGGACTGGGCGTAGTCCGCCAGCGTCGTGACGATGCGCTCTGTGAAGGACTGGGTTCCGTCGTTCTCGTACCACGTGACCGTGTCGTCGATCTGGGACGTGGACAGCACGTCGTTGTCGCCGTCGCCGTCCACGTCGATCGCGATGACAGACTTGGCGCCGTCCGCGAGCGTCGTGATGATGCGTTCGGAGAAGGACTGGGAGCCGTCGTTCTCGTACCAGGCGACCGTGTCGTCGGCGTAGGACGCCGACAGCGCGTCGACGTCGCCGTCGCCGTCGACGTCGATCGCGAAGACGGAACCGGTGCCGTCCGCGAGCGTCGTGATGACGCGCTTCGTGAAGGACTGGGACCCGTCGTTCTCGTACCACGCGACCGTGTCGTCGTTCCAGGACGCCGAGAGCGCGTCGACATCGCCGTCGCCGTCGACGTCGATGGCGTAGGCAGAAACGGCGCCGTCCGCCAGCGTCGTGATGATGCGCTCGGAGAACGCGACGCTCGTGCAGAACGTCGTCGGCCGCGGCGTCGGGGCCGCCGTCGTCGGCTCGAAGCTCATCGTCGGCTTAAGGCTCGTCGTCGGCGCCGCGGTCGGCGCGAGCGTGGCGCAGTCGTTCTCGTACCACGCGACGGTGCTGTCGCGAGTAGGACGCCGAGAGCGCGTCGACGTCGCCGTCACCGTCGACGTCGATCGCGACGACGGACTGGGCGTTGTCCGCGAGGGTCGTGATGACGTGCCTGGTGAAGGACAGGGAGCCGTCGTTCTCGCACCACGCGACGGTGTCGTCGGTGTAGGACGCCGACAGGACGTCGACGTCGCCGTCGCCGTCGACGTCGATCGCGAAGGCGGAAGTGCCGCCGTCCGCCAGCGTCGTGATGATGCGATCGGGAA